TTCCCCTTTCCCTACCTCCACACACGTCCAACTCCCCACCCAGGGAAAGGTCCCAGAAATGTACTTCAAAGAAAGTTTTCTGGGAATGATCCTTTTCGGTGTCTCCAGGCTGACGCTGACTATGGATGGCAAAGCTCTGATACTGGAATTAGCTTTAAGAGGTGTCTTATCATCATTCAGCTGGTTCATTTCCACTCTTCATACCTTGTAGTTGCCTGGGTCATAAGTAAGTGCATTTCCAAGGTGTTCAAAAGCCTTCTGGTAATCCCCAAGCTGGGAAAAGAAATAAATAAGCATCAGAAATTCAGGAATAAGGGGGTTAAGAAGGAGAACACAAGAAAGTCCTCCCTTGTCTTCTAACAGGCTGCAAGTGTTAGTGGGCATGACTTCGTCCATATATAAGCAGATGACGCTTTAGAAACACTTAAATAAATCCTATCATCTACAATTGAGTTATGCCAGAATTATACCGGTCCAAACAAGATCAAATTCTGGATACTGATGTCCTTTTTTGGTCACAAAAATTGATGAGAAGCCCATCTGTCACACCAGCAATTGTACTGACGCATCCAAGTCTAGCACCTTCTGTAATTAGCAGCAAGTGGGAAAACTGTAGAAGCATCTTTAACACTTCTGAAGGTGAGCATGTACCCAGAAACATGACAAACTGAACGAATGAATCAAAGCACAGACCTGGCAGCTAAATTCACAGGGTGAACGTTATACTCGTGCTACCTCCATCTTACAGATCCCCCTTCCCACGTCACACTCCCCTTTAAATCCACACACATCCAAAGCTCTGACTGCATTTCCATATCTCTAGAGCAAGGCAATTTTTTTCAAGATCTACATTTTATTCCTAAGCATTTAAACAGAGACAAGGGGGAATGGTTTTAACCTGCCAGAGGGGAGACTGAGATGAGCTCTGAGGCAGAAGCTCTTCCCTGGGAGGGTGCTGAGGCGCTGGCACAGGGTGCCCAGAGAAGCTGTGGCTGCCCCATCCCTGGCAGTGTTCAAGGGCAGGTTGGACACAGGGGCTTGGAGCAACCTGCTCTAGTGGAAGGTGTCCCTGCCTGTGGCAGGGGGTTGGAACTGGAGGAGCTTTAAGGTCCTTTCCAACCCAAACCACTCCATGATATGATTACATGATATGTTTAAAGATCTTTCTAAATCTACATTTGGTGCAAGATTTCCAGCCCATCAATCCTTTCAGGCACTACTGCATATTCTTTGCTTGTTCCCTCTGTGGGAAGCTTACTTTTGGAATAATGAGACAACCTTTCCCATACATTTTACAGACCTGAGTGACAAGCATTCCTTTGTTACTTAAATCGATTCCCATTCCCTTCCACGGTGTGTCAGAACTAGCAATTTCATGGCTGCTTTTGTAGAAGAATAACTAGTTAGACTCCTGCTCCAGAAACAAGGTAATGACTAGTCATGTTCTGTTACACTTGGAGGATTTGTAACAGAATTAGGGTGGTTGCCAAAGAGAATTCCTGCTCTGGCTCAGGTCCAGGAAATCAACTTGCTTTTAGTGGCAAAAGGGAAAGAAAAGATAGAGAAAAGCAAGCTCTGTCATGTTGAATGCAGCCTTTAGAGAAAAGTGTGCAAGTCATGGGCAGGTGGATAAAAAAAGGCCTTGATCATTTTGACAGTAATTAAGTTCCTGAGAACAGCTTCAGTACCTGCAAGTACAGCAGCCCCAGTGTTGTAAGGAGGTCTGCGTTCTCTGGGGAGAACCTGCAACACAAAAGCCAGAGCCGGTTGCTTATTAGCACTGCTAGAACAAGGTAAAACCAGACCATGGAGTTGTGATGCTACATTACAGCATCATATAGAGTGATATATACATTATATCACGCCAAGAAATTGCTATTACTAAATACAAACATTAGAACAATTGTCATGATGGGGGCTTCATCTGAGGGATATGACATCTAAGCTTTAAAAACGTCTTTGCAAATGGGAGGGCAACAGAGTTTTGTGAACTAGAACTGCATAAGAAGATAACGTGGTCTTGTTAAGCTTCAGTGTGAGTCTGCATCAGTGACCTGGAAATAGAAAATAGGATTTTCCATCGTCTCCCATAAACCAACCTGTAAATCCACCCTAAGCATCCTGGGCCATGGAGGACATGCAATCTTCAGCATTTCTGATTGATCCTACACACACTCAACATCAGACTTTCAATTCACCCTATAAAATGATTACAATCCTGGTTTCACAGACCAGCTGTGGACCAGAGTGCTCAGAGAGGCACTACCTGTCAGTGTAACCCTGGCCATACACACCAGTCCATTCAGCACAGAGAAGCTTGCCAAAATATGTCCCAAGGGCTTTCAATTACTGTGTGCAACTCCCTGTCCTCCGCTGTGTGAGTTCACACGGCAACACTGTGAACCCTTTTAAAAGCATCCCCATTCCCAGTAGCTTTTGAAGACAGAAATAGGACGAAAAGACCAACAAAAAAGAAAAAGCAGAAAGAGACACTGTGTTTGTGGCCTCCCTCACCTCAACAGAAGGAAGTTTTCAGTTCCTTGTTATCAAGACTTACAAAATGTAATATGCACACCTATACTGGCACCTTTACACCCCAACCAGAACAAAGCTGCCTGAGCCTGTTAGTGGGTGACCACAAAGCAACAACAGTCCATCCTGGAGCTGGTAACAGCAGGCAGACGAGAACACAAAAAACTCAGACAAACAGAGGAGTGAAGAAGAAGGGAGGGCAGAGGAGCACTGAGATAAGAGACACCAACTTGGTAAAATGCTTAGCAAGGATTATTGATGTAATAAATATTCTGGATTAGAATAAATGTTTTCCCAATCCAACACTGGGCAGATGTACAAAAGCAGCTGTGTAAAGCAACAGCCTGAAAAGAGCACGTACAGAAGGTAGATCCTCCAGTGGCTTCTGACATGATCCTGCTTTTCTTTAGTGTTTGTCTCCACTACAGAGCTACGTCTTAAAAGCACTGGTAAACCAAACGCTCAGGAATGGCCTAACCCGAGACAGATCAGTACTGAGAAACAGCAAGTGGGTGGGAGAAGCTCCCCGTCCACCACCCCATCACGTGTTTGCCTACTCACCCACACTCAGATACAGATCACTCCAAGTGAAAACAGCATGTAAAACCCAGCAACTGATTTCTGACAGAATCAGGGTTAGAGAGACGCCCAGGTTCCATCTTTTTAGTGAATAAAGTCAGTTTTGGATAGGTTTGCTCCCAGGTATCTCGGTCCGTTTGGTTTTCCACTTTTTCTTTGGCAGCCCTTCCAACATCTACCTTTTTCCCCGACACCCTGCCAGCGGGAGCAGGACTACAGCTGAGAGCAGAGACAGCTGAAGAGCTTGAAAGTGCCACCTTTGCACAGAGACACTACAATAACCATTGGCTTTTTAATCATGTCCTCAATTCAGATCTGGGATACCAATCAAATTCCTCCTGGCATAGGATGGGACATGGGCAGATAGAAAAAAGGATATATTCTTACTCTACGGCTTTCTTATAGACTTCAATGGCTTTCTCCATCTCCCCCTCCAATAGGTGAATTTTCCCCAGCATCATGTAAGTCAGATCATGTCTGTTGAGCTCCAGGGCATTGTTTAGCTGGTCTTGTGCCTAAACACACAACCACAGAGAATAAAAACAAGTAATAAGTGATTACAGAGACCTCAGGGAAGCAACAGCTCAGAAGCAACCCCCAGCAGCCAGTGAAAGAGAACAGCTACCACCCCTGAGCTCGGAGAACCCGCCAGTGGAACCCAGGCAGCTAACTGCTGCCACAAATCCTGCACGGGGAGCCATGCGTTTGCAGGAACAGCAGAAGGCAATGCAACATGCTTCAAGCCAAGCCAAGAGGCAATGACCTCCCAGGGAGGAGAGGAGCATGGGCCTGTTCCTGTATTTGAATGTGTTTGGCTTGAGGGAAGCCCCAGATTTGTGGGGTTAACAGGTACATTACAGTTTATTCTCTGCTAAAATGCTTATTCTAGCAATGAGCATGGATTGCCAAGTAAACAAGAGGAGGGAATCAGCTCTTGTCAGGCACACACTGATCCCTTCCAACAGGAGACACTTGGAAGCATATCATCTTCTCACCTCCTTGGGCGTACACAGCATCCTGCTGTCTCTGAACACATGATATATTAGAGAGAGAAATGCTGACACAGTAATGGAATTCTGCAATACAAGGTATCTGTTACCAGCCCCTCTTGAAGAGTCATCCCTGAAGGCTTTGTTACATTTTAGATGTCCTCATGGAAGCATTGCTGCCCATGGTGACCAGTTCATCTCAGACAAGATGTCAGTGCAGACAACAAATCCCAAGTATTAACCTACACTCCAGAGCTTCTTGCTTGACTGCCTCGAACACAGAATGCAGCAGAGGTTTGCTGCAAGGGCCACAGCACTGCACCAGAAAGAGCAGCAGGGAGCAGCAGGGCCAAATTGGGAACGAAAGGTTTCTAAATGCTGGGTTTTCCCTTACAGAGTAACCTCCGAGGGTCAGAGACAGCTCAGTGCTCATCACCAGCACCTAGGGGAGGGTTAAAAGTGAGGAACTGGGAATGGCACGCTCAGACCTGGGAAAGAAAACTCCCTTTCAAGCTTCCAAGGTTTTGATGAGCTACAAAGCTAACACAGTGCTGCCACACTGCAGCTATGTTCTTGTGTGACTTTTGCTCCAGGCTTGGTGCAAGAGGAGCTTCAGATATAGGAGCAAATGCTTTCCATGGAGGAAGAAAAGTGCCTGCTGCACCTCCAGCAAACCAACCCCTGACCCTTCTCTCTGAATCCTGCAAGACACAAGGGACAGCAAGTTTTCTTCTGAAACTCTCCCCACAACCTGCATCTGTAGGCAGGGGAAATGGTTTGGGTCTTTACCATCCCGCTTCTTTCCTCAAGAAGATGGAACTGGCACACTCTAAGGATTGCTGTTCCTCACAAAACCAGCAGTGTTCATGGCTCTGGCTTTCAAAGGCTCAGAAACAGAAGCTGCTCTTGTTGGAGCACAGCTGGTTTTCTGGCTAGTTTGAGGTGGCTCTTTTAGGTTTCTCAAACATTCCCTTTAAAACCAGAAACGCTCCCTGAAAAATCCTGGTTCAGGACAAGCCTCCCGACTGCCAACAAGGCTGTCTCCATTCCACAAACATCCAACTTCACTGACCTGCAGCTGGCTCTAAGTTATTCAACATGCAAACGAAATCAGAGGCAGCTCCCAAACTTTTGCTCCCAGAAAGAAACCATGAAGCAAAAAAGCTCCTGGATACCTATCACTGCAAATGATCCACGTCCAGCTACCAAAAGAAGTGAAATTTTTGGGAACCTGTTTCCCACTCATCGGGAAGACAAGAGGAGCATTTCCATTACCTTGCTGAAATGCTTCAGGTACATGTAGCAAACACCCCGGTTGTGGCTGATCTCCTGTATGAAAACAAAACCAAATAAGCATTACAAAAAGCTCCCCATGACCTGGCTTCAGTGTGTGCTTGAGCCCAGAACCCCCCGTGTGCTGGGCTGTACCCCCAGAGTGTGAGCAGCAGGTCAGGGAGGGGATCCTGCCCCTCTGATTGGCTCTGGGCAGACCCCCCCGGCAGCCCT